ATCGAAAAATTATATAATGAATAATGTGTAATCAATATGGTGATTAAATAAAATGCGTTTTATTTATATTCAAAAGTTTTGAGACCATATTGGATTCGATTATTATTGTGTTTCACTTTGCATGTTTTGACTTCCCGAATAACTAGATTATTCAAACTATCCACAGTCTATCATACTTTGGAAGTAGGTATTGAAGCTAGACTGTCATGAATGGGTCTGTAGATTGTCTAAAGGTGTTTAGACATAACACAAGTTTGCTGCAGTATTCATGAGTACTCCTGAAATAAGATTTGAGTATTGGACTAAACCCACGCTCATTTGAATCACTTCATGGATTTTATCACGAGTGATCATGAGACGATAATATCTTATATTCTTGAAACCGAGACATATGAGTTGCAGTTTACAAATCGGTTGCACATTGATGATATGTAAACGCACCGGTAACTCGATGTTATAAAACGTATCATTGTGTGTGATTTGATGAGTAAATAGAGCAAGCATATGAGTCGAAGTTTATCCGTTCCTTTTACCCAATGTGGATAAAAGCGATATCTGTGGGCCCCTCGATGATTTACTGATGACAGTCCTGAGCGCTTGGCCAAGCCTGGACTGATTTGATTTGTTCAATTAGTCAGTCATCATAAATCGGAAATCGGGAAACAACACATGAACAGAGAGAATGATTATAATCCATTTCTCAGTTCATACGATATCTAGAATGGAGGAATATATGATCCCTTATCTTATGGACGCATTACTAGTAAGATCAGAGTTCGACAACGGTCTTTTTTGAGAGCTACGATTGCCAATCGGAGTTTGAAGTCGTACTTGCAATTATAGTAATTAGAATTATCCAAGTGGGAGACTGTTGGATTATGTGTCTAATCCCATAACTATAATTGGTATGTACTTGACCCGATACAACATGGTCCATTTGGGTTGTAACACTCTGGAACAATTTCATAGGATGGATATTTGAGAAAGAGGTTATTCGTGATTTATTAATATATTATAAGTATAATATATTAATTGAGAAATCATATTATTTAATTAGTATTGATCAATAATTAATTTGGAATTAATTTAGTGATAAAAAAAGACTAATTAAATTAACGGGGCCTGATTGTGTAAATCAGTGATACATATGGTTTGGGCTATTTATCCATGATGGACTAAGCTTATGTGAAAGTCCATGAAATATTAGTCCATATGAATTATTTATCATAAGCCCAAGTGTAAGAATTAGAGTTTGCTTATGACTCTTGGAATTCTACACTATATATGTATTCATCAAAAGCCAAAATCGTGCACTAAGTGTTCTTTGAAGCCAAAAACGATTTTGTGTCTCCAAACTTCTCTCTCAAAGTCCTCCCTTATTTTTTGGTTTGTTATAAGACATTTGAGGCATCACACTTGAGGTGCTAGGCCCTTGAAAAACCAATTACTACAAGCTACAACAAGGAGGTAATTTTCTAACTAGTGTTTTATGATTTAAATATCAAATTGTATGCTAGTTGTAGGCTTCATGCTTTGGATAATTTTTGTTGCATGTATAACTATATAAAACTTAGATCCAAAGCATTAGTGTTGTATGTGCACCATAGGACTGTTGTAATACATAAATCCCAACAGTAATCAGTTCTCTTTCAAAGCTATCGCGATTTGAAGGTCCCAGAAGAAAGAAACACATCATCTTTGTTTTCATATGTAGGGGGAAGAAGACAATGAAAATTTTGAATTTGGCAACTTTAGTCCCTCTACTTCAACATAATGACAGAATACACCATAAATCTAATTTGTTCTTCGTATTTGATTTTCAGGATATTACCAATTAAACCCTGGACTATATAATCCACAATACTATTATTATTTAATCTTTAATAATATTCTTAATTAATCTTGTTATTTAATACATCTAATTTTAATTAATTTAATTCATTGACTATAAATACTTTTTACTTATTTCACCGTAAAGCTAGTTATTTATATATATATATATATATATATATATATATATATATATATATATATATATATATATATATATATACACACTAACTCTCCGTATTATTTGATAACCCTAATTTGAAATAGATAGACAAAAAACAGAGTGTTACAACTCTCCTCCACTTAAACTGGATTTCGTCCTCGAAATCCGTCTCGGTTATAATTTTTGAAGACAACATCATCGCAATTCATATGCTTCCTCCAACCACTTCATAAAATCAAAACACCCATAAAGGAAATTGATGTGACCACTCGGAACCCAACCGATTCCAACACAAAACTCAAACAATTGAAAATACCCAAATACAATAGCTACCTCTTTCTCCCAACTATATGTCTCAACTCACAACGAAAACCATTTAAATTGAGAAACTCTCGAAACTAAAACTGCAAATCAATTCCATCAATATACTTCACCAGATCGGGAATCCATTAGTTTAAACTTTATAAACCAAATCTAAGGACTGATGGTCATCCATTCGTCATGCCTACCCCTAGTTCCCAACTAGGAACACACCAACCTTGGAGAACGAACATTTAAAATACTCCGATCGTGAATTTCAACGAATCCCAAATCCGGAAATTATGCCTAAAACATCTCAAATACTCACTTGACTTCCTGAGAAGTCATCGCTAACCAACCGCTCCCACGAGCTTAACCAAGGTCAATCCAAAATATCACGTGACATCCAAACCCCTATATCAGCTCAGGTGTACTTCCACCAGACAAATCACTCGATACATTTACAACAAACTTCATGACATGAGATTTCAGAACCAATACCCAACATTAGTAACTAAACTCCTAATAAACAACCCTCAAGAAAACAGGGTCCACAATTCCAAACATCCATCAAGCGACTTCCGATGCATAACTAATACTCCCAACAAACTTTTACTATCTACATGATTCAAAACAGCTGGTCACTGAGTCTCCCAACTGCCAACAATGAACTAACACCCAAACATGCCAACAAGACTAACGATCCGAGACCTAAGAGTCTCAATCAAATGACTACCGGGTTCCACCCATATGAATTATACAACCACTGGTCCACGATGCATCGTGGCACCCACTAGCCACTAGACGGAAAATTGGGTGTTACAAAAAGACATTTACAAATAAAAATAATGGTGATACAAGAAAAAATCAAATAAAAGTAGTGGGAGAATTATACTATTAAAAAAAATGGGTAAATGGTCTATAAAAAAAGTAAAGTAGCGACAGAGTCATAGGGGCTCCCAATCAAAATTAATGAAAAATTTAGATTTTAAAAAACTCTAGGTCTAAAACTAGATTGGTGTGTGCATTAACATTATGATGGTGTGTAGAAAAAAATACACATTAGATACTATCCGTCCAAATATAATTGATTGGTAGGGATTCCCTCCCTCTTCCTTCCTTTCATTTTTCTTCACTTTCCCTCCCTTCTCTTTCCTTCCCCTAATTTTAAAACTCGAGTTGTGACAATCTCCGATGAACGTTAGTTCCGTTGGGCAGATCTCCAATCCAAGCAACAATTTTGATATTTGCAAAGAAAGGGTTGAACACCAACAATTGTTACCCTTGAAATGCATAGAAAGGGTTGCACAAAATGATTTGGTAATTGTGACCATCGATTTTTTAGAGAAAGGGTTGACCATTGGAACGCTCTTAGACGAAGGTTGGAGACATAGTCAATTTTGTATGTTTGTATGATTGTCTATATATTTGATACATCCATCCATCCATCCATATATCTATCTATTTATCTATCTTTGTATCTATCTACCTCCCCCTCACTCCTTCCATCCCTCCCTCATCCTGCCTCGTCTTGTGCATAGTATTTCTGTCAATGGGTCTCTCTCTTGTGTCATGACGTATATGCCACCATCGAGTTTGCACAAATTGTTGGCGATTCTAGTGTCACCAGGACATTTTGTGTAATTGGAACCTACATGTGAGCTAAGAGACTTCATAATTTGTACTCTAATATATGTTTGAGTATGTGCGGAGTGCAAACATGTATAAGATCATAATTAGAAGCTGATTCGACGACAAGTCAAGGATCTGGGGGCAGCGCCCTCGGGTTCAGGGTTTCCAAAGAGGCAGCGCCCCTAGTGGGTTCCACGGGGCAGGAGCCCCTGGCTGGAAACATAGTTGAAAAATCGAATTCTTGAAGGCAATTATGGTAAATTGACTAAGATCTTCAGTTTTGAAAACCATTGATTTCCTCATTAATTCCGGATTCCCTTGATTTGTTTCCTAAGGAATCCATGACGGCCAACCCTAAAACGAAACCCTACATCTCGTTTTCTATATAAAAATGACTCTCCTCTTTGAAGGGGGATACTTTTTAGCTCTCGTTTTTCTTCATAGAAACTCAAAATTCTCTAGCAATTTGGCGTACGTTTTCCGTGCCTAGATTCGTAAGTGTCCTCGTGGGATTATCCTAGGCTGAATATCTTGTAACCCGGGGATAAGGTATAATTATCAGTTCGGAAAGTGTTTACACGATTCAAAGGGTATTCAGATCTCCACTATAAACCCTACTAAATATCTAACACAAATTTGGAGGTTTCTTGACGGGGCTCTCTCATCCTGTCACTGCCACCACCAATTTCCGTAGATGTTGCAAGTTTGCAATACCACCGATTTTGCATAAATTTTGTAGGTTTATTGGCGGAGGAGGCGGTTTCTGGCGAGGTTGTCTATCAAAGGTTTCCGACGATAAAACATGAGGGTGAGAGTTAGAAGGGAAGGGAGGGGTGGGGTATGACCCTTTTAATTAATGTTATTATAAAAGACAAAGTAATATGGACAAAATTATAACAAAAAGAAAATATGAATTATAGGACTCAAAGAAAAAACTTTAAGGATGTTAGTACGATCCCTAATAACAATAATCAGAAATATATATATATATATATATATATATATAATATATATATATATATATATATATATATATATATATATATATATATATGTGTGTTTATCGTAATTTAATCCCAATGCTTAATAAACAAATAATAATAAGTCACATATATCAATCAATTCATATGTTTTCATCTACCTTAACATTTCCTAATCAGCTAGTCTTGTTGCATCGTCTCGCATTTCACCATTAAACAAGTTATTAGCAATATTACTTATTTGTATGTTTCTTGTAAACGCCAGAGAGAACAAACAACGATAACAGAACCAAAACGAGAATTTACCATACATGCTATCAAATCTCCACATAGCAATATTGATCTCAATCAACGAGCCACCCCCAGAGCTCCTTCTTCTCCACTGGAAACCACTGGTTCTGGATCTTCTTCAGTCTCTGGATCCTTGAATACCTTAGCAATCTTCTCAGTAGGCACCAATGGCAGATAAGAAGAAACCTTGTATCCTTCCTCGTTTGTTTGTTTCACAGTCTGGTTGTACTTCTCAGAAACGTAACCTGCTGTAGGGATAAGCGCCTTTGCCACACTACGAAAGAGTGGAACCTTGCTAAGAGATTGCCAAGCTGAAGCAGCTTGTTGCTCTGCAACTGGCTCGTATTTCGTTAAAAGTTCTTTCGCAGTTGGCTCTATCGTAGTGTATGCAGTTTTCATGAGTCCAGATGCGGTTTCCACCACGCCTACATTCTTGACGTCAGAAGCCACACTTGTAGACTTGGCTTTGCTAACAGACTCTTCAACCTGCAATCATTTCACCATATGTAAACAAGTCTTCTGAATTATATAAATAACAGTACTTTCGAGAAAAGTAGGAAGACAAGCTGACCTGATGATCAGCAAACTTGAGGACCTCAACAGGGACCTCATGGAACTTATCATAAGCAGGGCCAACAACAGTCTTGAGAGTACTTTCTATAGTTTCCACTCCAGGTTTGAGGGACCCACTGTTCTCTTTAGCATAATCATAGGCCTTTGATACATAAGGAACTGCAGTCTGTGCTACTTTTTGCACTACATCCAGGTACTTCAAGCTCTGTTGTTCGCGCTCATCCTTTTGTAACAAAAAGAGGAAAAAATACAAGTCATTTCCTAACTGATACTGTCATAACTGGTTTTATCAAGAAACATGTTTTTATCACTCGATACACATATTTACAAAATAACATGAACCACAAAGTAACGAACCTGCGGTTGATTAGAAGTCGGAAGATCGTTTTCGGCCATGATCAAGTCGTATGGTTCACTAAGAGATGAAATTGTATACTGAAAAGCGATATTTGCGTAAATTTTAAGGTATGCATATTGATCAGTCGATGAATAATTATTTATAGCTTTATGCAAGAGACAGAGTCGGTTCCAATGGGCAGGGCACAGTTTCCACGAGAATCGAAAGTTTCATGCAACATCATGACGTGTAGGCAAGTGTGGGTCCAGTGGTGTCGACTGTTATTTGAATTTAATGGGGCATGTTACACTTGGTCCCCAATATTTACCTATTTTGTCGAAAGTGACCCTTATACTTCTTAAATGGTCCTTTTACACTACAAGAATAAATACCTATAGGGATGAGATCTATAGGGACGACATTTGTTGTCGCTATAGGCTGCCTATAGGGAATACCTATCGTCATCATAGAGTTGACCAATTTTTATTGACTCTTGAAGCTATAGGGACGACTTGTTGTCTCAACATGTTAAGCGGGAAAAGAAATGAGTTTGGCGTGTTCTTAAAACACCCGTAGACAGGGCCGGTCCTCAGGAAGTAAGTATCCTCAAAGGCTCATGATGAACAAGAAAAAAAGGGCCCTTGTCGTTATTATAAGTTGTTACTTTTAAATAAAAATATATAATAAAAAAATTGGACCATATGCGGCTGCCTACTTTGCCCCCCCCCCCCCCCCCCCCCCCCCCCCCCCTCAACGGCTCCCATGCCCGTAGAGACGACCTATCGCTCTAATAAATAACACAAATTGTTAAGACGAAAAACGAGATGACGAATGCGGAATCTGAAGAACAATCATGAATCAATCACCATAACGTTGCAAGTAATCTGTCAAAGGTTATGTATATTACTGATTTTGAATTTGGACGTACAAAGAAACCTTTACAGGAAAAAGCTTACATCACAAGCTAAGCTAATGACTATATATAGGGAAAATAAAACATTTACCAAAAATACAAAACCCTAAAAAGTCTTCCATAATTAACAGAAATGTCAAATCAGTTTCAATATCTCAAATACTCAACAATCTCCTCTTAGATGTTGAAACTGATGAAGATCACGATTTCCAATCTTCAATCACCATAACGTTGCAAGTAATCTGTCAAAGGTTATGTATATTATTGATTTTGAATTTGGACATACAAAGAAACCTTTACGGGAAAAAGCTTACATCACAACGGAAATAAAGCGTTTTGGGGTAAATATAGGGACGACTTGTCGTCCCCATACCTTTGTATGCCCATATATATATATATATATATATATATATATATATATATATATATATATATATATATATATATATATATATATATATATATATAATCTATTTAGTTGGAAAAAAAACTACGTCGTCTGTTTGTGGTTATAGGGACGATAGCTCATCCCCATAGGGTTATGATCTGAGAATCCCTTTCCCCTTGGTCGTCTCCGGTCTCGGATCTTCTCTGTTGCTCAGGATCCGTCTTCCCTCCCCCCCCCCCTCAACATCGGTGTTTAACCTAACCCTTAACACCAGTTCATTAACGCCTCCATCTCTATTTGTCGTTCGTTCAAGGCTTTTAGAACTCAAGCAAATCTCCATTTTTCTATACAGGTTCGTTGAAGCTCATGCACATCTCCATATTTCTATGTTTTTTTGTTCCTTCTTCTCCATCCATAACTCGTGATTTTCTATGATTTCATAGTTGCTCTCTCATGACAAGATTTTCTCACATCGATTAGCAGATCTCCACCACCATTTCTCATTCCCTAGTTTATCTTCTGTGATTAAAAGGTATTTTGTTTTCAACATTGATAATCTACTACCCTTGCTACGCTAATAATCTGCTTTCAGTTGAAACTCATGTACTTGTTGATAGTATTCACAGATTTACATAATTAAATTCCAACTAAAGATAGAAATGTATGTGTTTGACAACTTCCTTATCTATCTCTATCTTTTGATTTGTTCTCTCATTGGTAAAATTTCAGGAATATGGAATTGTTTTAGTCTTGGAATTGTTACTAAATTGATATTGAACCGAAGTCCAAATCCTAGTAATTAATTAACCATCGATCATCTGGTAATTGTTCATTCTTCAGTTCAGATCTCTTGTTTAACTCTTTTGTAAGTACTCTATCTGTAAAAAGCAAGTTCTTCATCTAATCCTGTACTTCAATTGTTGAAATCCTTTGTTTTTCTCAAATCTAGTTGAGAATTTCATATGTTTGCTTAAGAAAATCCATTATTTCCATCCAATTTTTGGGTTTTAAGCTTCCTTATTACAATTTTGTACTGCTACTGCCGGATTTTGTGCATTACCCTTCTTTTCTTCACTATAAAGAAGGTCGTGGATGGTGCAACATGCAGGCACAACAAGATTGGGTAAGCAAAAAGTTCTATGAAATCTTAAAAGTTCTATGTTGATTTGTGTAAAGTATCGATATGGTATATAAAGTGGATTGCCTATATTTCTTATATTGCTATTTAAAGTAAATTGAATATATTGAAAGTATATTGCTATTATAAGTATATTGAAATTTTAGACTTATTGTTCTTATCAGTTATAGCTGGACAGGTTGGTTGTCTTCCTTATAGTTGTTTAGTTAAAAAAAAATAATGTATGTTTATTTTTTTGTTTGTTGTAGGTTAATGTGAGAATCGTCAAAACTCAGGTTAGGACTCATCTAGAACCTTGTCGTTTCCATGCGTGCACATAACTTGGCTTTAGAAGCAACAAGTTGAGCTAGATCGCGACTTAATAGATCCCTCAGAACAAGTAGTGTAACTTAGCTTGTTGTAACGAACCGCCTTATTTAGATATTTTCTCTATTTAATTTTGTCTCTAGAATAGTCCTTTCTAGAAAAATTGTAGAATATATCTAGAAGTTCCATGGAAGGCTCATGAAGAGACATCTTCTAGAAACATTCTAGAAGATGTCCCTTACTTCCTAGTAGTTCTTGCCTCTTATATAAATAGGGCTCTTCAATTTCATTTCTCCTCACCTTGTAATTGAGTTGAGTTCTCTAGAGCAATAAAGAGCTTTCGTGTGTTGAGGTATTTCCTTTTTTCCTTGTTCTTGTGTTGAAGTTTCGAGTTAGGCTGACTTAGTTTGAGAACTAAGTGCCGCACGGTGAGCTTGAAGATTCAAGTCCGTGACATTGTACTAAGTACTCACATTGATATGTGAATACTCCAACTAGGTTGTAAAGTGCCAAAGTTCAATCTCAAAACTAAACACGAAACCATGTTCAATAGATCACAACTCAACGGTAAGTTAAATACCCTAATTTATTAATCGGAACATATGACGTGCTTAACTAGTTTATGTACTTATCAAACTCAATTTCATTAAATCATGATTTGATTTACTTAAAAGTTAAAAATAATATCCAAATGTCATAACTTGAATCATGAGCCAAAAGTATAATTCAAGGATTGTCTAATCCTATATTCATATGTTATGAACCTTTATTTCATTTATTTGAAATATAAAAATTTGATTTTTATAAAAATCAAATCATAAGTTAGCATGTTGATAATTTAATTCAAGAGAATATAAGTTTATGAACTTATTTCTAAAAAACAAAATATTTCAATAAAACCTAATAAATAAAACTCTAGGAAATTATGATAATACTTGAGTTTTTATAAAAATTAAAGCCTAGATTTATAAAAATTCAGGGGAGGCTTTTATTAATTTATCAAATATCAGGAAAACACTCATTTCTCTCCTCCCTCCATTAAAATTTTGGCCATTGGGCCTTTCCCTCTCCCCCATGCCTTAAAACGTATCATTATTACTCATTTAGACCATTTTCACACTCTAACTCTGTCTCACTCTTCAAGAAACTTTTCCTATTCCTAAACCTTCTCATATACCTCCGAAAATCCTCTATCCTCTGCCCTAATTTCGGATTCTTGAAGATCTTGAAGTGTTCTTGCTTCACTCAAATTTGAAATCAAGGTAAACAATACAACCCATTCATATGGTTTCACAACTTTACTTCTTCTTCTTCATAGTTCTTCTTTACTTTTCGGATTCTATACCCTTCTATGGATAGATATCCTTGTTTTTCCTCTTGGTGTTTGTAGATTCTCACCATAACACACTACATGTGTTTGAGATGGTGAAAATCCGGGATCAAACCCATGCTAAGAGTGAAAAGAAGCATATATGTTCATATGATTTCAAAAAAAATTGAGTTTTACATCTTCTTCTTCATTTCTTTTGTGTTCTTACATAACAAAAACCATTTAAACCTTTTCTAGTGCATCTTGGATGCTTATTCACTCCATGCATGTGTTAGAAATCAGATTTGTGGTGCAATCCTTGTGTAAGATTCGGTGGTACCATGGAGTTCTCTATCACAAGAATGAAACACCCACTTTGGGGCCTTGGACAAGCCTAAATCTATGGCTTGGATGCATGAACCTAAAAGTTTCTTGTTCTTCTGTAAACTCTAGTTTATTGTTATTTATTTTCTACTTAAAAGAATATGCATGTTGTTCTTGTAAGCATATGACCCAAATGGGCATTTTAATCAACCAAAGATAATATGCATTCTGTTAGAAACATTAGTTTGGCTTTGAACAGTCATATCTCACTCATTACTCAACCAAATCACGATATTATTTTTCTGGGGACTAGTTCTGTGATCATTAGTTTTGCATTACATGATCAAGGGTCTTAAACCCCATAATAAATCTGAAGAAAATTATTTTAGGAACTTGACAAATCTATCTCAGAAGACCTAAATTTTCATGAACTAAAACAATATAGTGGTTTCTACAGAAATTATTGAACTTTCAGCTGCATTTTGAACTCATGCATTTGCTAGTGCTACATTTCATAACTTGTTGGGGTTGAATACCCCCATTTAGCTCCGAAATTATTTTGAACCAAATTGGTTTATGGAATCTCATGTTTTTAAAGGATGTTCTGTGAAACCGTAAGTGCTAGAACAAACTCTTTATTTTCCACAAAAATAAGAATTTAATGGCCAAAATTTTTAAAAAAATACCTACAAATGAGATAAAAATCCGAATTTTTTTGGAACTTATTTATGTACAGAATAAGGACAGCGCCTA